TGGCCTAGAGCCTGAAGACAGCGAAAAGCACCGTGATTGGCCTGGAAGTCCAAGGGTCCAACTCTCCCCGGTCCGTGGTCTTGGGTATCAAAGGAGTGTAGCCTTTGTCCAGGTCGTGCGGCATTCCCCAGTCTTTTCCTCCTCGTTGAGAAGCGGTGCAAGATCATCGAAGACGCCAGGGTACCATTTGCCCAGACCACAGTACCGCAGGTGTCCAGCGGTCGAGTCCTGCCGCGCACGGGTTCGTCTGCCCCGCGGCCGTCGCCAGCATAGGTCCTATGAGGTCGTGGCACACCATCTCGCTGTATTTCAGCGCCGGTCGGAAGGTCTCGACAAACTCCTTGACCTTCTGAACGATCGTACTCCGTTCATCCAAGATGGCTTGTAGCTGCTGGTTCTTGTCTTCTGTGCATGAGCCATTCTTTAATCTGATGGCGGTACGTGTGCGGCCCCCCCCCTTTCTGAGGTACCTGTAGGCATCCTTGTGGTCAACCTGCAGCTTCTGCTTCCACGCCTTGATTCGCTCTGGCTTAGCACGTCGTTGCTCCACGTTGCGCGCTCGTGCTGCAGCGCCCGCACCAAGATGTCTGCCGCTGCCTTGCTCAGTGCGCGGTCTCCGAAAGCGCTCAGCCCTGCCTGGCCCTCCAGGGTGAGGCGCAGGTGCATCCCCAGACAATTCTTCTCGGTGGTCTCTGCTCGGTGCCCCATAGTGGTCATGCTGGCCAGCTCTTGCACCCGGTGTAGTGCGGCAGCGGGGCGTCCCTTGCTGAATCGCGGCTGCTGTGGCGGTCTGCCCCTTCGGGAGCACACTCAGTCTTCGCACTCGACTGCGTCCCCACTCCGAGGCTCTCGTCCGAGTTCCCGTCTTGCAGCAGCATCTGCTTCAGCACCGTCTCGCTGTTCTTGTAGCACAGATTCTTAAATTGTTTACTGCATTCACGCCGCGCGTTGTAAGGGTGGTTGCAAATTCGGCGCCCGTCCTTGGCACGGCGACCCCATGCCCAGCTGGTGGCGCTCTGCACTTCTGCCCGATGCCCGCCTTCTTGGGCATGTGCACTGGCTGCGGTGTCAAGGGTAATGCTAATCTCCAGGTGAAGCGCTAGATTCGGGGGCGGAAAAGAGGGTGGTGATGACTAGGGGGGGGGGGGTGGATATCATGGCGGGAGCCATGATATTTCCCCAGATTTCATGGCGCCCCTTTTTATTTCGTTACGTCCCTGGCCCCCCGCTGGGCCGCGCACATGCCGCCCCGTCATGATTTGCACCCCCCCCTCTTGGACACCCCCCTCTTGGCCGCTCCCGAAGGTGAAGCGCTAGATGTCGATCGTGTTCTGCTGCTCGGACTCCCCCAGTAAGGCTGAACTTGCGCATCGGCCGTGCGGCCGTGGCGTTGACCAGTGCCCAGTCGAGCCTCGCGCCTCTACCCTCCGTGCTCGTGGAGCCCTGCGCGCCGCGGGGTCACGATCTCGTGGCCGGGCGGCCGACTTTGGCCTGAGTGCTCGACGTGAGCCCCGAGGCAACAACAGAGCGCAGGAGGCGGAGGAGGACGGAAGCATACCCCCAGGCCTCCCAAGCAGGGCCCGAGCAGGTGGGGTCGGAGGCTCGCCGCCGCGTCGCCGATGCCTCGTCGATGCGGCTCGATGCGGAGCCTGCCTTTCTCCACGTGGAAAGCGTCGATGCGTGGGCGACGTGGCGCGATCCTGCGACCCCAGCTGCTCGGGCCCCACTTGGGGCCCTGGACGTACTCTCCCCTCGTCCTCATCCTCCCTGCGCTCTGTCGTTGCCCCGGGGCTTAGGCAGAGCGCTTGCGCTACAGTCGGCCGCCCAGCCGCGAGATCGTGGCCCCATTTGGGAGGACCCTTACGGTAAGGGCATTGGACAAGAAACCGCTGAATGAGGAGCACAGGGTCTGGAAGCCGGTGGAACACTGATCGAGGCTTGGCCATGGAGATCACCGCCGCCCTCGTCAGAGAATGAATCCTCGAGGGTCTGCAGTCTGCTGGGCATCTTCCCTGACGAACGCCTCGACCTCAGCAGGCGGCCGCCGCTTGCGGCTTCCAAAGGGGGGGCGCGTCGCAGCGGTGGTGCACGCCGCCTCGGGGCGCCACCGAGAACCACAGCCACAGCGCAGCGGGGGCTCTTCTGGAGGGCCCCTCGGGGGAGAGCCCGCCGACCTCGGCGTGCGCATCTTGGCCGTGGTTTATGGCTGACGTGGCCGTCCCTGGGCGCCACGTCGGCCAGGACCGGCACCGAGCTGCTTCCCGTGCTGCTGGCGGCTGCGGGCCTGCGCAGGGCGCAGCTCCAGAGGCGCGTCCCCGCTGCGGTGGTCGCCCGCTGCCCCACGCACTGCTCGACTGGGCGGCCCGCGGCAGCCTCCGCTCCGCGCCGCCGTCACCGCTCCTCAAGGGGCTGCAGGAGGTGATGGGCTTGTTTTCCACCACCACCACCATAACTAAGTTGGAGGTGGAGGGGGTCCTCCTCCTCCTCCTCCTCCTCCTCCTCCTCCTCCTCCTCCTCTTCGTCCTCTTCCTCCTCGTCCTCCACCTCCATCCCCCCTCCAACTTGTGGTGGTGGTGGTGGTGGTGGTGGTGGAAAACAGGCCCATCAGGAGGCAGCACGCTCGAGGAAGCGCACGCACGGACCTTTCGAGGAAGGCGTGGACTGAGGCGCGTGGGTCAGCGACGGGCCCCGCTTTTCCGTACGGCATCGAATCGGCGCGCTCCGTCGCCAGTTCGGGCGACGTTGGCGCCGCGTTTCGGCGGGTGCTCTCCCCGATCCGTGGGTCTGGCGCCCCCGCGCCAGACCCGCAGCATGTGCCCGACTCGAAGACAGCAATGGTGTGCACCCGCTTCAGCCTGCACGGCGTTCAACAGAAATGGCGATGAAGGAAGAGCACTGGGCCTAGATCAGGCACATGTGCGTGCTCGAATGGTGCGCATGTCATAGACACGGTCTCCCCTTCCGGCTCTTCCTCCTCATCCTCGCCCTCCATCCTCCTCCCCCCCTGTTTTTCTTACTCTCTTTTGGTGCTCCCGGCCCCTCCTCCTTTTTACCTCCTCTTTTCTCCACTTTCCCTCCTCCCTTCGCCTTTCTATCTCCACCCTCCTCCCATCGCCTCCCTCCCTTCGTCCTCCTCCCTGCTCCCGCTTCTTTTCCACTTCCATTTTCCCATATTTCTTTCACGTCCCATTGGGGAGGGAGGAGAAATGAGGAGGATGAGGAGGAGGAGGAGGAGGAGGAGGAGGAGGAGGAGGAGGAGGAGGAGGAGGAGGAGGAGGCGGAGGCGGAGGCGGAGGAGGAGGAGGAGGAGGAGGAGGAGGAGGAGGAGGCGGTAGAAGAGGAGGAGGAGGATGGACGGAGGAGGGAGGGAGGAGGGAGGAGGAGGAGGGAGGAGGGAGGAGGGAGGAGAGGGAGGAGGAGGAGGAGGAGGAGGAGGGAGGAGAGGGAGGAGGGAGGAGGGAGGAGGGAGGAGGGAGGAGGAGGAGGAGGAGGAGGAGGAGGAGGAGGGAGGAGGAGGAGGAGGAGGAGGAGGAGGAGGAGGAGGAGGAGTTGGAGGATTTGGAGGAGGGAGGAGGAGGGATGAGGAAAGAGGATAGCAGCCTTCCGAGACCAGCCTGCTCCCCCATCGTCACTCTGTCTTTCCGTCCTTCACTACCTTTCATCAGCCTGCTCCTCCCTCCTTCGCTTCCTCCACTCTTTCGTCCACTCCCTCTCCCCTCCCTTCTTTCTTCTCCTTTCTCCCTACCTCCCACCTCCTTTATCTCATCTCTCTCGTGCTCTTTCCTCACTCTCCCCCTTCTCTCCCTTCGTTTACTCCCTCATTCTCTTCCCGCTCTCTCTCTCTCTCTCTCTCTCTCCCTCAGTCCTTCCTTCTTCTTTCCCCCCTCCTTCCATTCTTCACTCCCTCATCCCCTCCTTGGTTCTGCGGTCTTCTCGTCCAGGCCTTACAGGGTCGCTCAACTTCTCCCTTCCCGCATACCCTTCGGTAAGGCCGTTGTCGCACTGCTGCAGCGGTGTGGCGGAGCGCTGGACAAGAACCCCTCAGCTGAATACGCACCTCGAGGTGTGGTTGTGGTTGTGGTGTGGTGTGGTTTATAAGTGAGTGTGTGTGTGTGTGTGCGTGTTCTGCGTTTCCAGGCTTGTCACGCGGCTTTAAATGAAACATCAGAAATTCGGAGCGTAGTCCGCCATCGTCTTCAACCGGTAGCTGGCCTCTTCAGCGCGTCGGGCGACAAAAAGTGCGCGTGTGTTTTGGGAAACAGAGGAGGCTGTCACAGCGCATGCTTTCTGTGCGTGCTAACCACCAGCCCCATGTGCGAACTACGGACTCGGACCCCCTTCCGACTTCGACATGTGTATGCGTCCCTGAGACGGGACCAGCGTTGTACTGCACTCCTCTTTCCATCCTTCCTCGTCGTGCCACCTCCCTTCATTCTTCATTCACTGCTGCCTCCTCTCCAGCTTCATTCCCGAACCGGTGCTTCCATCGAGGGCCTCTCACTTGCATCGTGTAGCCCTCTCTGGCGCCGTAGAACTGACCAGTACCAGGTTGACTCGTGTGAGCGTGAGCCCAGTTGGTGCCTGTTCTTCCGTCAGGCATGTTCATGGGCGTGTTGGGCGCTGTGGCTCGGGCGGCGCTCTTCCACAGATGCCACACTCTCGTTATTCATCGGGCTGTTTCGGACGCTGCGGTGAGCTTGATGCACGGAGCACGCACCCCTCGCAGGTGGGAGAGCACCCCCTCGAAGCACAGCTGGCTTGGCACCCAGAACGGCCCCCATGCATCTGCTCGGACCTGCGTGCGCTCGAACCCGAGAGCGCGCGAAGCCCGCGCGCGCGTGGATCTGTGACTACGCGCACGTACATTCACAACATATGTGTGACAGCACGCGGGATGGTACGAGTATTGTTTCCATGGGACAGCGCTTGCGTGCATGCTTCTGCGCATGATGTGTTCAGCGTGGGGCCCTCTCCCTGCATGCTGCCAAGCCCGTTGCCAGGACGGCACTGGGAAGATCTCGCCAGAGAACCTCAAAGTGCGAGGGGCAGTGCGCGATCTCGCTGGCGATCTCCACGGGGGTTCATGCGCTCGGCCGTTTTTTGCTCGTTCGTGCCCAGGATGATGTGCTTGTTTTCCCCCACCACCACTATAAGTTGGAGGGGGGAAGGAGGTGGAGGACGAGGAGGAGGAGAACGAAGAGGAGGAGGAGGAGGAGGAGGTGGAGGAGGAGGAGAAGGAGGAGGACCCCCTCCCCCTCCAACTTATGGTGGTGGTAGTGGTGGTGGTGGAAAACAGGCCCATCACAGGATTTCTGTTGTACCCGCGCCAGCTCGCACGCGCGCGCGGGGACGGGCCGCCCGCCCAGCGGCCGGTTGGAGGAGAGCGCCGCCGTCGCCTGCGCCCATTTCGTTCCAAGACGGGCCAAGAGGGGCCTAAGAGGAGGAGGAGGAGGAGGAGGAGGAGGAGGAGGAGGAGGAGGAGGAGGAGGAGAAAAATGAAGAAGAATAATAAACATAAGAATAGTAATACTACTAATCATAATATTACTAATCGAAATACGAATAATAATACTACTACTAATAATCATACTACTACTAATATTAATACTAATACTAATAATAATAAGAATAAGAATACTAATAATAAGAAGAATAATAATAATAAGAAGAATAATAATAAGAACAATAATCATACGAATAATAATAATGATAATAATCATAATAATAATAAGATGAGGATGAGGAGGAGGAGGAGGAGGAGGAGGAGGAGGAGGAGGAGGAGGAGGAGGAGGAGGAGGAGGAGGAGGAGGAGGAGGAGGAGGAGGAGGAGGAGGAGGAGGAGGAGGAGGAGGAGGAGGAGGGAGGAGGGAGGAGGAGGAGGAGGAGGAGGAGGAGGAGGAGGAGGAGGAGGAGGAGGAGGAGGAGGAGGAGGAGGGGGGGGCAAGCTGGGACAAGAGGGCCCCCAATCGCCAAATGATCGCTCCAAGACGCCCAAGATGGCCCCAAGATGGCCCCAAGATGGCCACAGAGGGCGCCCAAGTCGGCTCAAGAGGCCTCCAAGAGCACCCCCATACTTGCCCCAAGAGGCCAAAATCGTCCCATTCCCGATGGGAAACGTACATTTTCAGCATATACGTTTTTTCGGTCCTCACGGCGTTGAAGACGGCCCAAGAAGCCCCCAATATTACCCCAATGCAGCCCAAGAGGCCTCCAAGAGGGCCCCAAGACGGCCCAAGAGAGCCCCTCCGTAGCCATTTTGGCTCAAGCAGTCTTGGTCATGATCCTTCTCTCGTTCCCCGACACTGACTCCATACATGCACTTTTTGATGCCGATTCGCACATTGGTGGTGCTCGCCGCCGCGGTGCTGTACGCGAGCTCCGTGACCGTTGCGTTGAAGGTCGCGGCCGGCAGTGTCCAGGGTGAGCCTCTCTCAGATGCGTTCGACGACTTCTACGTCGACGAGCCCTCGGAGGGGATGCCTGCATCGGGATCCCAAGAGGGAAGTTTTATGGTAAGAGGCTTACGACCAGGGGTTGCCCGTGAGTCGTGGGCGAACGGGTCCAAGTCCCGAGCGGGTTGTGCCCGAATGCGTTTTTTTTCGTGGTTTGGCGTTGCTTTCGCCCGTGGATGTAGCGATATGCAGAGGAGATGTTCGCGTGGTGTGACGTGCGTCCTGTCTGGATACGCATGTGCGTTGTTCGTGGTGAAGTTTTGTTGTGTGTTGAGGGCCGCCCAAGGCGATCCAACGTGGCCGAGGCATGGGCATCGCCCACTCGCGACGGCTCTTTCCCCTTTTGCGGACCCCAAGCCGTCGGCGAGCTGGGAGAATCGCATGCTGATCGCCAAGAACAAGAAGTTTGCTGTTGGCACCCTTCCACCCTCTGCCCCTCTGGAATGCAGTTGTGCGCTTTTGATCGCCGTTTGGACTGCAGGGGGACATCCGCACCATGTCGTTGCCCCTTCTCTCCCCCCTCCTCGGTCTTCCCCCCCCCCCCCCCCCCCTTTGGGTGCGCTTTACCGAATGTGCAGCTTGCGTGGATGCCGGCGCTCACGAGTTCAACTCTCTAGCTATTTGTCGCCCGTGACGAAAGGTCACCGGTGCCATCGGAGGTCATTAGATTGCTCGCTCGCGTGGTGATTCATGGAGTTTGGGTTCTCTGGCGCGGGAAAAAAAAAACAAGAAGTTTGCCTTCTGCTACATCGAAAAGAACGCGTGCACGCAGGTCAACTTTCTGGTGAATGGCTTGAACGGGATGCCGACTAGGGACCGGATACCGTTTTGGAAGTCCAATTCGGATGGCGTGCACAAGGGATATCTAAAGACGAATAACGTTTCCCAAGCAGACGGCTGGCGCATGTCAATTTTCGTCCGCGAGCCGACAGAGTGGTTCTTGTCCGCCTATCTGTCAAAATGTGATGCTTGGGAATACGGTGGGGTTGACTGCTTGGGCCCTCGGATCACAGATCTGACCATAAGCCAGAAGGTTGATTTGTTTGAGAAGACGGTTGTGGAGCTGCTTCCGACATACATGGCCAAAAGTCGGGAGAAAAGCGGTTCAATGGCCACTACGACCCACAGCACTCTTTCTGCGGCGGCCGAAAATTGAGCGAGTACAACTTTGTGGGAGTATTGGCGGGCTCGCCAGGCAACATCCACGGACAGGTGAAGCGCATGCTGCAGGAGCACGCCCGCGTATCTCCGAGCGCCAGGGTCATGCGTCTCTCAGACCAGCTGCTCCCGACCACCTCAAAAGCGGGCCACGGGGCAAACACTTCAGATCTGACGAAGACTTTCTACCGGAACCGCACGATCCTCCAGATGGTCATGGAGCAATTTGCGGCGGACTACGACTGGGCCGGTCCCGCAGTTAATGCGGCCTGGGCGCAATCGCGCCGTGCCGCCTCGCCCGATGACTCCGCGCTGGAGCCTCAGGCGAACCCGACAGCGAGCCCAACCGCAGGCCCGACGGCCAGCCCCACGGCAAGCCGGACCACCAGCGCGACAGCGCCCCCATCGACGGTGAGGGCGATAGGTGATCTTCACCTCACCAACCTGTTCGGACAGCGATTCGACCTCCACCAGAAGAGATGGCACACGCTGGTGCGGGTTCCGCGGGGCGCCCAGCGCAAGTCCGCCCTTCTGAGCGTCGAGGCAGAGGCGCGGCAGATGGGTGCGGCGTGCGCGGACGTGTATTTCCAGTCGATGAACCTTACCGGGAGATGGGTTGGCGCCAAGGGCCGTGTCTTCAGCGCCAGCAGTGTCGATACGAAAAAGTACCGGCGTTGGTTGCGATACGGCAGTGTGGAGTTGAAGGTCGTGCATGGCCATACCCAGAGTGGCATCGTCTACCCGAATATATTCGCACGCAATTGATGGCGTGTAGGCTATGTCGTGAGCGGTATTTTCGGCATGGACGACCACACCTCGGCAGTTGCGTCCAGTCAGACGTGCCGGAAGACAATCAGCTTGTGGAATTGTAGACGGGCCTGAGATAGCCTCCACCACATCAGCTCCTCCTCCACCTCCTCTTACTCCTGTTTCTTCTCCTCCTCCTCCTCCTTGTCCTCTCGTTACTTTCTGGCGCCTGAGGGTACGGGCTCCGGAATCCCTCTTTCTTCTGTGCCCGCCTGGCGCTGGGTGGCGTCGCCAATGCAGTGCGGTATCCGCAACAAAAAAAGACGGCCCAAGAGAGCCCCAAGACGGCCCAAGAAGCGCCCAAAACAACCCAAGCGCGCTTGAAAACGGCCACAAAAGGGCCCATGGGTGCGCTTTCCATCCGGCCCTTCGGGCTCCAGAAAGAGTTCCATGAGATTTCTCAAAACGGCCCCTTGGAGCGCAATTCAGCAGCGTGAAATCGACCCTGCCACCCGAAGACGGCCCCCTAACCGCCAGCATGGCCCCGAGAGATTTCCAAGATGCCTCCCAGGAACACCCGAGGGGTCACCCAAACACCACTCAGAAGCATCTGGAGGCTCCCATGCAGGCCCCAAGCTCGACAAAAAAAATCCGAAAGGCCTCCCACGAGACACCACACAACTTGTCAAAGTGGCCTCCAGTTTACGACCAAGCTTGGCGGCGAGACGGGCCAAATGCCAGTGGGCATACATGTGTGTATGTATGTATGTATGTATGTATGTATGTATGTATGTATGTATGTGTATATATATATATATATATATATATATTGCACATACGCATATATATACACACATATAAGCACATATATATATAGATATATATATATATATATATATATATATATATATATATATGTACATCTGCCGATGTATCTGTGTGTAGATAGGTAAATGTGCATGTGTACTTTCCGCGAGGGTCGCGAGATGGACTCTAGGTATGGGGTATGCATCAGGCAACAACTCTTGACAATACTGGCCCGTTCATTTAACACTTGGGCTTTCGCAGTGTAGGACGTGAGTTCCGTGGGCGTGGCTAGAACCTAAGCGCGCGAAGCGCGCCCGCGTGGTTCCAGTTACACATATGTAAACACATGTATTGTTTCTCGTGACAGTTACACACCTTTGCTTTGAATCGTTCTTCGGCGCATACCGTTGGACTGATGCATCAGGACGTCACACACGAATCTTTTCAAGCAAAAACATTGGGAATGGCAGGTGGTGCTCGGCGAGAAGACGCCGCTGGACGAGTTCATGCGGGAGGCAGACACGGACCAGGAACCCGGAGATGCACCTGGGGAGGGCGCAATGTTCCCCATGCGCCGCTTCTGCCCTGGGGAGCCCTGCCGCGCTGCAGCGCCCCTGGTGGTCTGCTGTGCAGCGACGGGCCGCCCTCGTCCCTGCCTCTCGGCCCAGCTCTGCTGCCAAGGGCCAGGTGCGGCCGGACCACTCCCTAGCAAACCGACCCCTTCGGTGATGACCCACTCGCCTCGCTCCGAGACGTGGGCAGGCGGCCAGAGAAGAGCCTCGAGCGTGATTTGGCTCGTCACGGAAGGGGCTCGTCACAGAAGGGGTCGGTTGGGCCGCGCCCGAAAATCGATGCCTTTCCATCGCCATCTCCGTCCCCATCGTGGGGACGGAGATAGAAGAGGAGCGCATGCCCCGTGGCCCTTGGTAGGGGCTACCCCAACCCCCCACGATTTCTGAGGGGGAGGGTGGGGTTCACTTCGTTCGGGGGTAGGGTTCGCATGTGGCCCCCTACTTGGGGGCCCGGCCGGGCAGCCCATCGCGCCTTGCCGGGTGCAGGACGGGTACATCTCCTATGCCGAGTTCATCGCTTACCTCCGGACTGGAAAGGCGGACTCGGAGACGGACGCGCAGGCACCGATTCGAGGAGGCTGAGGAGGAGGAGGAGGAGGAGGAGGAGGAGGAGGAGGAGGAGGAGGTGGAGGAGGAGGAGGAGGAAAATGAGGACTTCACTGAACATATTGGGCGCGGCTGCGAGGGAGTGAACACCACACCCTGCCATGGTTGAGATGCTGCGGCGACCCCGTAGAGCTCGTCTCACCACGCACGACACGAATAGCCTCAAGGAAGAGACTCCCAGCTGCTGAGCAGGAGCACATCGCAGGGCCAACCCCGAATCCGCGCCCTGGCTGGGTGCCCAGACACGCCTCCCAGGCCTGCGCAAGCGGGGGAGGACCTGGCTGCTCGTGGTCGCTGGCGCCGCGTGTGCGCCAGTCCGCTGCTTCGCGCGTGGCTCGCCTCCACCCCTTGGCGCCACCGACAGCAAACGCTCACCCACCTTCCTGGCCATGCTGTAGCGGGCGACGCAGCACGCGATGCGGAGGCGGCGACCCCCCCTCACCCCTTGGCGCCACCGACGTCAAACGCTCACCCACCTTCCTGGCCGTGCTGTGGCGGGCGACGCGGCGTGCGATGTCGAGGCGCATCCCCCCCTCACCCCCTGCGCCGCCGACGTCGAACGCTCACCCGCCTATGGCCATGCTGTGGCGGGCGACGTGGCACGCGATGTCGAGGCGCCCTCGCTGGGAGGCATCGGCGCTGGAGAGACCCCGGCACCTCCGACTGCTCGGCTGGGGCTCTGGAGGGGCGGCGGTGGTCCGTCGTTCTCTGAGGCCAGGTTGTCTTGGCTCGCATTTGTGCAGGCCGGTCGTCCAGGCACGCAGCACGCAGCGCCGTCGCCGAGTCGCTCGCCGAGTTGTGGTCGCGGGAAAAGCTCAGGCTCCGTCGGGCCCGCCGTGCTGCTTCCCCCCTGCCAGCTCTGGCGCCTGGGTCGGTGGTGCCGACAGGGGGGGTGTCTGCCACAAGGGGTGGGGGCAAGCATCGGTCCCGACTCGCCCGTTCCTTGCGGATCGGGGCCTGTGTGCCCCAGCATGCCCAGAAACGTCGTGTTCAGGGTGGTGTCGGGGTTTACCTTCTGGAGCCTCGTCAGCTGTACAGTGTGGTAGCGGAATGAACCTAAGGGAGCTTCGGCCAGTTGCGGGGGTTGGCTTCTCCTCTCTGCTCCCTCCTCCCCCTCTAGCTCGCAAGGAGCGTCGGTGTGCGCAGCGTGCCGCGACAGCAAAGGCCAAGACAGTGGTAGTGCTTAGGCCCTCGAGGATCAGCGTGGCGGATTTCGTTTTGTTTCCCGAGTGCGCAGGACACTCCAAGCGAGTCCAGACCTCAAGCGGCCGTCAGTCGGCCCGAGCTCGACGTTCGCTGTCGATCGTGGAAGAAAGAACGCGATCATCGCCCCACTCTTCATCGCGTTGCGGGTTCAGGGCGCATCGCCGCCTCTCACCTGCCTGTTGGCTGCCCCAAGCACGTGGAGAAGCTAGCGGGGCGGGTGGACGTGGCACTGGGGGTGAGAGACGGACAGTCCGGCCCGTGTCTTTTCCTGGCTTGGTCTAGTGTTTGTTTCTCGGCCCGCCCCGTGGTCCGAATAAGAGTTGCGGCGGCCCGCACAACCGCGCTGGCGAATGTCCCCGGACCTGCTCCTTCAACGTGCCACTTTTACGCCTGGGGCGGCTGCCTCTCCCCGCCGGGCGCTGCCTGCGCCCCGCCCCCCTCTCCCGCCTCGCCTGGTGGCCTTCGCCCTTCCCTCGCCGCCGCCCTCCCTTCTCCTGGGGCTGCCCGGTCCGTTCTCGGCGTCCCTGGCAGGCCGGCCTGGCACGCGCCGCCTCCGGGATGCCTTGCAGGTCACCCGCGACAAAGGGACATCCACGGTGCCTGTCCGCCGCCCTGTCTCCCCCAGCCCGGCACCCGCTTCGTGCCCTCTCGGTGCCCCTTTCGCCCTGCCTGGCCTGCGGGCCGACCCCTCTTCCGAGGTGGTCCCACGCGGGCCTTCCCCTCCTGGGCTGCCACGCAGGTCGCTTGTGACCTCGGCTCCCCTGGGCCCCGCGCTGCACCGCTCTCGCCTCCTGCGCTCCCGCCTCTCCGCGCCGCCGCCCTCATCTCCCGGGGCCGCCCCGCCCAGTCTGGGCGTCCCTGGCAGGCTGGTCCGGCGTGCTCTGCCTCAGGGGTGCCCTGCAGGTCACCCGCGACCTCGGCATCCACGGCGCCTGTCTGCCGCGCTGTCCTCCACGGCCCGGCACTCGTGTGCTGCGCCCTCTCCGCCCCCCCCTTCGCGCCTTGCCTGGTTTTCAGGCCGGCCCCTCCTCTGAGGCGGTCTCACGCTGGCTTTTCCTTCCGGGTTGCCTCGCAGGTCACTTGGTGGTCAGCCGCGCTGGCGACGCACTCACCAAATTGCCCCCTTGCGAGGGCGACGTGCACGTTCGAGAGGACGGCTGGCCTTTTCGGCGGCCGACGCACGGGCGGCGCACGGGCGACGAATGCGCGACGCACCTCTTTTCGCGAAGGGGGGGTTGTCAGCACGCCGGTCGTCTTACTGGGCCTTAACACTTGTGACTTCGGCTTCCCCGGGCACCTCGCTGCGCCGCTCTCGCCTCCAGCTCCTGCTGGGCCTCTTCCCCCCCTGGGCGACTGCCTCTGGCAGCCGCCCCGCCCACCTACCATTCAGTCGGGCGTGCCCCCCTACAGGGGGATCTTCGACGAAAAATAAGGAAGACCCCCAAATACACCAAAAAGGTAACAACAAAATCCTTCAAATATTCCCGATATTATTTTTTGTTTCGTTTTGAGTCTTCTTGGGGTATTTTCATTTTTCGTCGATAGCCCCCCCTGTAGGGGGACAGGCCCGACTCAAGCCTACCCCCCAGCTGTCGCCTCGCCGCCGCTGGCCCTGCCCCCGGCGCCCCCCCGCCGCTGCCCAGCCCCTCTCTCGGCGGGCCCGGCTCCCCCCTTCCCTCTTGCCTTATGTCGGGCATGTCCCCCCACAGAGGGTTTTTTCGACGAAAGATCAAGAATACCCCCAAAATAGTCAAAACATAGTCCAAAAATCGTATGGGGATTATTTTTGGAATATGTTGTGACTTTTTTGGGGTATGTTTTGGGTATGTGTTGGATTTTTGGTTGGAAATCCTCTTGTAGGGGGACGCTCGACATAAACTTACGCCCTATCGCCAGCGCGTGGCTCTGCCGAGCCGCCGACGCAAAAGTGTGCGGGTGTGCGTGTGCGTCGCATGGTCGTTTTCTATGCGGGCTTCCGCTGGCCAGGCTTTCCGACCGCTCCGCCTCAGTTTGGTGATTTCGTCGGCTTTGTGTGGCAGGCGGGGACGTGTGGAGAAATCGCCCAATTTGGGTCTCTCCTTTGATTTTCTTTCCCATTTTTTGTTGCATCTCCATCTCTCTCTCGCCCCTTGTTTCCGTTTTCGCTTTGACTTTGACTGTGTGTCTGTCATGTCTGCCTGTCTCTTTTTGGCCTGCCTGCCTGTTTGTATGTGTCGTGTGTGTCAGCGTCTGCGGGTTTGCGCGCGTGTGTGTGTGTGTGTGTGTGCGTGTGCGTCTCATGATCGTTGTTCCTCGCGGCCGCCGGGACCCCGCGGGCCAGGTTTTCCGACCTCTCCGCCCTTTTCTTGTAATTTCGTCGGCTTTGTGTGACGGGGGGGTCGCCTGGGGAAATCACTCAATTCGGGTTGTGCCAGTTTTTTCTGTTTCCCTCACCCTTTTTTGTGTCTCTTTTTTTTTGTTTCTCTCTCTCTCTCTATTTTCTCTCTCTCTCTCTCTCTCCCTCTCTTTCTTTCTCTCTCTGTCTCTCTCTTTTTTTCTCTCCCTCTCTCTCTCTCTCTCTCCATTTCCTCCGTTTCCGCATTGCCTGCCTGTCTGTCAGTCTGCTCAGCCTGTCTACCTTTTGCCCGCCTGCTTGTCTGTCTGTGTCGGGTGCGTCAGCGCATGTTTGTGTGTGTGTGTGTGTGTGCGTGTGCCCGCGCGTGTGCGTTTCATGATCGTGTTTTGTTTTGCCGCTGTGGCCCCGCGGGCCAGGTTTTCCGACCATTCCGCCCGAGCTTGGTGATCTCATCGGCTTTGTGTGGCGGGAAGGATTCATGGGGAGATCACCAAATTAAGGTCTCTCTCTCTCTCTCTCTCTCTATGTTTCTTTGTCCCTTTCCCATTTGTTTTTCTTTCCTTCTTTCTTTGTTTCGCTCTCTTTCCCTTCTCCCTCTCCCCCCTCTCTCCTTTTTCGCTTTGCCTGCCTGCCTGTCAAGCCTGCGTGTCGTGTCTACCTTTTGCTTGCCTGTCTGTCTGTCTGTCTGTGCTAGGTGCGTCAGCGTATGTGCGTGTGTGCGTGTGTGTTTTCTACGCGGCCCGCGGGCCAGGTTTCCTGACCACTCCGCCCTAGTTTGGTGATTTGTTGTCTTTGTGTGGCAGTGGGGATGCGTTGAGGAATCACCGAATCAGGGTCTCTCCCTTCGCTTTTCTGTTTCCCTCATCTTCTGGTTCGTTTGTTTGATTGTTCTCTCTCTCTCTCTCTTTCTTTCTCTTTCTCTCTCTCTCTCTCTTTCTCTTTCTCTCCTTCTCTCTCTCCCTCACTTTCTATCCGCCCTCTCTCTCTATCCGTTTTCGCTTTGCTTGTCTGTCTGTCTAGTCTGCCTGTCTCGCTTTTGCCTGCCTGCCTCTCTGTCTGTGTCGGGTGCGTCTACGTACGCGTGCGTGTATGTGTGTGTGTGTGTGCGTCTCGTGGTGGTTTTCCCATGTTTTTCTAAATCCCTCTCTCCCTCTACATAAAGACAATAATTCACATGCCATTTTTTATGTTTTACAATGGTTTGTTATGGTTATGTTTCTCAGCCGCTAGCTTCATTTTTTCGTTCCTCTGTCTCTATCTGTCTCTCTCTCTCTCTCTCTCTCGCTCTCCGACGCTTTCTCTTTATTATAGGCTTTGTTGTGTGTTTCTCTTTCTCTCCTTTTCTCATTACCTGTGTCTCTCTCTCTCTCTCGCTCTCTCTCTCTCTCTATTTATGTCCTTCATGGCCTCTTATCTGTATTTGGCACTCTCTCTCACCCTCGCCGTATTTCTCGCTCTCCCTCGCTTTTTTTTGTTGTTTTCTTCTCTCTCTCTCTCTCTCTCTTAAAGCGTGACGCGGTTCGCCCTAATTTTGTTATTTAGGGCCTGGGCTGAGTCCACAGGGCAACCGGCAGAAATCACTGTTCTAGGTCGGTGGTTGCCTGCGAGCAGATGGCGCGCGCAGGTGGTTCGACCTCATTTGGTGATTTCAGACTTGCTCGGAGGCTACTGGGAAACTGGTAGATAACAGCGTTTTGTGTTGGTCGTTGTCTGTAAACAGATGGCGTGCACAGGTGGGCCCACCTAGTTTGGTGATTTTTGGTTTGTTTGGAATCGCACCAGCAACCGGCAGAAATCAAAGCTCCAGGTCGGGCGGTGTCTGCCAAGAGATGGCGTGCACACGGTGCCCGATGTCATTCGGTGAGTTTGGGTTCGTTCGGAGCCAATCGAGCAATCGGCAGACACCCATATGCTTGGCGTCATCTGCCACGCCGGGCAACGGGCCTCCTTCCTCGTGGTTCCTCCCTTCCCTCCTCCGTCTCCTTCTGCTCTTGCTGCGTTTTCCAATGCTCGGGGCGCCCGCCGCTCGGCGGCGGCGGGGCGCGCCGAGCTTGGCGTCACCCGCAGTGTCGGGCAGGGGCCTCCTCTTCCTGCATGCCTCCTCCTCTTCGCATTCCTCCTTCTCCTCTTCCGCCTCCTCCATATGTCTTGTTTTCCCATGCTCGGGGGGGGGTCCAGGCTTGGGCCTTTCCCCTTCCAGGGTTGGGCTACGGGCAACCCTTTGCAGGGGTGGGCTGTTCCCTTTCCAGGGTTGGGACTTTTCTTTTTCGTTTTCGGCTTTCCGGTGCTCCGCCCAAACTTTCCAGGGTTGGGACACCGACCCTCCTCCTCCTCCTCCTCCCCCTCCTCCTCCTCCTCCTCCTCCTCTTCCTCCTCCTCCTCCTCGTTCTCCTCCTCGTCCTGCCCCTCGTCGTCCTCGTCCTCCGCCTCCTCCTCTTCTCCCCCTCGTCCCCGTGCCCCCTCCTCCCCGTCCTCCCCCATCCCTCTTGCCACACCTCCTCTTCGTGCCTTTTTTTCCCCGCGTGGAGCTGACAGATCAGCGCGTTTGCAGCTGGTGCGACCAGGGTGGGGAATAACAGGGGGAGAGGCGAAGGGGAGGCTCGACAGCGCGGCCGTGAGTGGTGCCAGAATGGCAACGGAAGGAGAGGGGGGTGGAGGAGTGGCGCCAAAATGGCAGCGGAAGGAGAGGGGGGCGGGTGGAGGGTGACGAGGCAGGGGTGTGTGGGTGCGCTATGGTCGCGCGTGTTGGCGCGCGCCTGCCGCACAAGGCTGCGAAGGCCGGTTCGGCCCAGTTCGTCGTCGTCGTCGTCGTCATCGCCCTCGTCGTCGTAGTATACGTTGTTGGGTTTTTATTGTTACCCCACGTCTCATCATCTAGCCCACGCTCTTTTCCTGTGCTCTTAGTGGGTTTGCTGACAAACATCGCGAGTTATTTTGAAGCGCTGCTCGTTCGGCAGCGGTTGGGCCATAGTTCTGGATAGCGCGCGAAGTGCGCTTCAGCATCGTGGCACTCCATGCATTTTCAAGAGTCTGCTCGCATGGGGAATCGCCCCGCAGCGTTGTTTGTCTGAAGCTCATGAGAAGAGGAGAAGCAGGAGGCACCGACGGTAAACACTGCAGCACGATAGGCGACAGATGAATGGAGCCATCTGGAGATGTATTGGAACAATTGGACTGGGCTGGAATCTTTCGGCGGGATCCCAAACATGCGCAATTGGGTTTGGGTCCTCTGCAGGCGAGCTCTCTCATTCAAGAGCGTGTGTGTTGGTGTGTGCGTGTGTGTGCGTGTGTGTGCGTGCGTGCGCGTGCGTGCGTGCGTGCGCGCGTGTGTGTGCGCGTGTGCGTGTGCGTGTGCGTGTGCGTGTGCGTGTGCGTGTGCGCGTGTGTGTGTGTGTGTGTGTGTGTGTGTGTGTGTGTGTGTGTGTGCGTGTGCGTGCGTGTGTGTGTGTGTGTGTGTGTGTGTGCGTTTGTGTGTGTGTGTGTGTTTGTGTGTGTACACGTGCGTGTGCCACCGCCTGGACGCAGAGCAACAGGCTGTCGAGGTAACATCGCGTGTGTGTGTGTGTGTGTGTGCGTGTTTGCGTTGTGCGTGTGTGCGCGCAGAAGATCAACGGCAGCAGGCGTAGAGCGAAGCAGCACAACCCCGCAGGTGCACAGGCTGATCGATTCCGAGCTCAACAAGTCACTCAAGTCACACGAAGTGCACGGGCGAATAAGGATATTATCATGTATTTGCTGACCGTTCCATGTGATTCGCTCCGTTCTGTGATATGCCTCTATTCTGTTAGTGTTGTTTGTACTGCTGTCCCTTTCTCGTGTGTTGACGACCGGTGTCCTCCACCGTGCCTCATCGTGCTTCTCTGCAGACATGTTCCCATTCTTTGTTTGGATATTCGCTATCGTCTGGCCAGTACGGTTCTGTCTTCAGAGGCCCTCCTTCCAGGACCCAGAGGGGCTTGTGGCATGTCCTCTGCTTCATCCTAGGAGGTACTGATGCGGCGAGTGGGCGCTGGGAGAGTCACCAAAGGGGAAGGATCTGAAGGAGGTGGGTTGTCTTTTCGGGCCTGGCTGCTCTAATCCTTTGCTCTTCATCCACGCTCTGTCGCCGCACCCGCTCCGACGGCTGACAGCCATAGAAATGGGGCAGGGCGCAGCGACAGGGGCCGAGACGCCCCAGACGATCAAACCTCGTGCATGTCCATATTTCCTCTTCCTCCTCCTCCTTCCCCTCTCCCTTTCTCTTCCCCTCTCCCACTTCTGCCCCTACCGTAGCCGTTTTGGCTCGAGCGTAGCCGGTCTGGCTCAGGTGTTGACCCGAGCCTGCAGCAGCTTGCATCTTCGGCGTGGCTACGAGCTGCTGCGCTCCAGCGTCTCGGCGGGCCCTGTGGGGCCCCAGTGCTTTTCTCTCGCCCCTGCGCAGGGGCCTCCGTGGATGACGGCGGGCCCGTGCTCCCCGGCCCACGACGGCCCTTCTCGACGTGCGGAGGCTGCGGGCTCAACACCATTTGGGCCTCGAGGATCATGATGTTCTAGCCTACTTTAGCCCTGATCACCATCGTGAATTTCCAGCACCCAGAAAACACCCCCAAACTCGAGGGTGTTCACGTGCCGGGCCCTGGGAGACTCTTTCGACACTGTTTCGACATTGTGCTCGAATTTTTTTCTGGGATGTGGTACGTAAGTAGGATGGGAACACCATAGCTCGAGGATCCAGTGCAGGTGTGGACGGGCAGCGCCTGCTCGGGTCATTAACGCAGCCCGCCAGCACGCCAAGAAGGCCATGACGATCAATAATGGCAACGGTACTCGGACGACTCCTGCTGGAAGGCGTCCTGCTGGCGGTGGCCCTTCTCGTGAGGATGAGCTGCAGCGGCAGCTGGATGAGTTGCAGAGGCGCTACGGTAAACTCATCAGTACCCCCTCGTCTAATTATGAGCACTTCCAAGGGGGAGGATGAGGAGAATCGGTTGCGCGACAGTATCAAGTTTCAAGGGCTTCGAAGCCGCGGTCCAGGCAGTGGAGAAGCTTGGGGGAAGCGGCCCGAGGCCAAGCAGAGTCTGACAGATCCTCTGCAGGAGGCGCGCAAGGCCTTGGGCGGCCTGCAAGTCTGCCCTCACGCAACACACCGTCACAAGCTCGCCGGGGCCGTGGCCAAACAGAAGGACCTGGGGGCCGACATCAACGAGCAGTTGCATGTTATTCAGCAGGCCACTGAGAAGCTCGACTCCTCACGTCCACAACATAAGGCGTGCGAGCTGGAGACTGCGGATCTGACTCGTCAACTTGTTGCTAACCTTCCTGGTGCCAATCCCCGCCTTACATTTTGACGGCCTGGTACATGCATGGTGCTGTGAAGGATGCAATGCGTGGCTTTGTGGAATCATAAGTTTTCAAAACAAAAGTACTTCGAGGCGTTCGGGGAACAGCAGATGCGCGCGGCCATGGCGGCATCTTCGGCTTCCGCGCCGTCCTCTTTGCCATCTTGGTCGTCGCCTTCGTCCTCCGAATCTTGCCACCGCCAGGGACAGCGGTACCGTAGTTCCAATGTCGTCTTGGGCGCCGTCTTGGGAGTTGGCTCTGGTCCTGAGAGCGTCTTGTGCTCTCTTGGGGTATCTTGGGGATTCTGGGGCCACCTCGGAGCCATCTCGGGCAATGTTGGGGCTTCTGTGTCCGTGGGCTATCCCGGGCGATCTTGGTGGCATATTGGGGCCGCTGGGGTCATCTGTGGGCTACTTTGGGGGAATATCGCGGCCATATCTAGGTCTCTGAAGAGACACCTTGGACTAGCCTGGGTGTCAAGCAGGGCGGCAGGCAAAACACGTATGAGCCAGCATGTTCTTCAATGTGTTTGGTCTCTTTTGATTCCCCGTCCACCTCTCTCCGTGGCTGTTGCCCTCTTGGGCTGGGCTCTGTTGGGCCATTTTGGTCTCCTGGGGCCCTCTGGGGGGCCTCTCTGTACCGTGCTGGATGCCTCCTGGGCCTTCCAGGGCGAATCCTCAGACGAGTTGAGCGGCCAGGGACTCGGAGCACCACCCTCCGTGTGTTTCGGTTGTCGCCTTTGGCCTCGGAGCAGACCGCAGAAAGGGCACCTTCTCCTCCTCCTCCTCCTCCTCCTCCTCCTCCTCCTCCTCCTCCTTAGAGAGGCATCTAGGAGACGGGGCAACATATCATGCGTGATTCAGACGGCCACCAGCAAGACAGCAGTCCACCCATCCGTTACACAGCCTGGCGCCCCCACGAGGGGGCTGCCCGAACTCTGCGATGCCACACAGCGGGGGCGCGCATCGAGAAACCATTTGCTTTTCGTCAGGGTTTCCTGGGTTTCTTCGCTCCTCGCGCTGCGCGGTGACTTTCCGCAGCCGTGGAAGGGGCTGCTGCGTTCAGGGTGCTCCAGGTTTCCCCTCAGGTGCACCTCGCGCACGGGTTCTCAGGGGTGGGTTTCTCGCGAGGGTTTCTTGCGGCCGCGCCCGCACTGCAGGCGTGCGCAGCAGAGGAGCGGTGTGCTGCTGGCTGGAGTCCGGCTGGCCCGCCGTGCTGCGGCCCGCGCGGCTTGCCTGTGCTGGCCGCAGGTCGGGCCACGGAGGACCCTTCGTGCCGGGGGCGGCGCTAGGCATTTCCCCTTGCGAAGGGTGGGCAGATGGGCCGGCCCACCTCGCGCGCAGAGCACAGAAGGGGGGCAGGGTGAAGTCGGGCGTGTCCCTCTACAGGGGAAATATCCCAAAATGACTAGTTTTGAGCATGTTTGGGTGTATTTGTGGGCATTTCCTCACCATTCGGCCACAATCTGCCTGTAGGGGGACATGCCCGACCTATACGGCAGGGGGAGGAAGGGAAGACTTCTTGGAAGCACCCCTGCTTCGAAAGAGCCTCCCCCCCCTCCCCCCCTGCCCCTGCCCCCCTGCGCGCGCCGCCAAGCTCCACGGCCCCGGGCCTCTGCCGATGGGCTGCCCTGGCGGGCTCTCTCCGGGCGCCTCCTCTGTCGATCTGCCCGCTGTCCATTTGCTGCGCGTCTGCAGCCAAGGCGCCAACGCATCCGGGAGCATCTTGGGAAGGGGCTCCCCCGAGCCCTTCCGCTGTTTTGTTTTACTGGCGCTCCTCCTGCACCCGGGCGTTTTTTCGGGGCCACGAAGGGGCTCTGTAGGGCGCCACCTAATTATACACGTGCACCGATCCTGGCCAGGCCAAGATGATGATGATGATGATGATGATGATGATGATGATGATGATGATGATGATGATGATGATGATGATGTGATAATGATGATGATGATGATGTGATAATGATGATGATGCTGATGATGATGATGACGATGATGATGATGATGATGATGATGATGACGACGATGACGACGATGATGATGATGATGATGATGATGATGATGATGATGATGATGATGATGATGATGATGATGATGATGATGATTATGCTGATGATTATGATGATGATGATGCTGGTTATTATGATCATGATGATGATTATGAGGATGAGTCTGATGATGCGGATGATGATGCTGAGTCTTCGTGGATTTCTGCGAGCGGACCGTCCACGAACCGCGAGCGGAAAGCGCCGTGTATCGGAGGTTGATAGACCTCCTACCCTGACACGTCGATTAGCGAATTGGCCGTTTTCGGTTCGCGAGAGGGCGTCGCGACCGTCATTTTTGCGGGTCCAGGTCCGTCGGTTTCGGTATTAGGCTGTTTTCGCGGCCCGCGTAAGCCGCGGCGCAGGGTCGCTGTGTCATCTCGCTCAAGACCCCTTTTGGATCGTCGCTCGTCTGTTGTCCGAGGGATGGCCACTTTCTTGGGGGGCAGGGTTTCGGGAGCCCGCCGGACACAGGTACAACCTCCTGGACTGGAACTGCCCATCCGCTCATCCGCCCAAGCGGCTTTGCTTGAGCGTTATTCGGGGGTGGACAGAACCCCTAACAGTGACACGTCGATTAGTGAATTGTCCGTTTTCGGTTCTCGAGAGGGCGCCGTGGCCGTTATGTTCCAGGCCTGCGCCCGCCAGCTTTGGGCCTCAGGTCGTTTTCACCAAACCACATTTTACCAAAGGGGGTCTGTCCATCCCCGAGTTATTTATTTCGCATCCCTCCTGGAGGAGCGCGACTCCACCGTCCCAGATCCCACCTCGCCGCTCTGCGGTCGCCCTTGCCGCCGCTATTTACTGTATTTCGCAACCCCTCCTGGAGGAGCGCGACTCCACTGTCCCAGAGCCCACCTCGCCGCTCTGCGGTCGCCCCTGCCGCCGCCCTCCGGGGCGGCGCACCGCGGGGCGAGGGCGGGGCTCGGCGGACGGCCCCCCCCCGCGGCGCGGAGGGAGGCGCCCCTCGGCGTGAGCCTCCTCAGAGAGCCGCTGGGCGGGGGGAGGATCGTCCAACACGCGAGCTCAGAGACCACATGCCCGCTGGCGGGCGCAGGCGCGGCGCGGCCGGTCGCGCACCGCCGAGGTGGGGGGCGTGCCGGAGGGAGGGGGGGCAGCGCAGCACGGCCCGAGGCGCGCGCGTGCGGATGAGGGGCGGGCGTGGCCAGGGCCTCTCTTTTTTGTGAGCCTTTGCGGTGCTGGCGCCGAGGAAGCGAGACCGCTTCAAGGGCTTCGTCAAGCACGTCGGCGCCTCAGCGGCACGTCGTCGGCGGGGCCGCGCCGGCGTGCTGCCCGCCTGCTCGTGTCCGGGGGCCTCCCTCCACCGAGACGTGCTCGTGCTGCTTTCTCGGGCGTCTTGCTCCTGGGGCCCCCAGGCGCACTCCAGTTCCTCGTTCGCGCGTCTGCGGGGAAGGCTCAGTACCATCCTTTCGCTATGTCTAGTTCGGCTGCTGTGGTAGTCATGTTTAGTTCGGTTGCTGTGGCTTCTTTCTCGTCGGGCCTGCGCCAATGGCCCCTTGACTGGCTAGCATATGGTTCTTGCGCTAGGTTCGCTTCCTCTTCTGCGAGCCAGTACGTGTTGGAGCCCCGTGGAACAGAAGCCCTCGCGGTTCAGAGTGGAGGATCGGGGGGAGGTAGGGAGGGAGGGACGCACGTGGAGGGAGGAAGGAGTAGAGGAGGGAGGGAGGAGGAAGCACTCGAGGGAGGAGAGGAGGAAAACACTGGAGTGGGGGAGTGGAGGGGAGGAGGGAGGGAGGATGGAAGCACAGGAGGGAGTGCGAGTTGCAACGACCGCAGGGAGGCCGACGAGCGCAGAGAGGCCGTCGACGGCTGTTCTTCTGTCGTTCAGAGTGGAAGGAGCAGTTGCCGCCTTACGTCGCCGTGTTCGCCCGATCTCGGGTCGGCCGAACTGGTAGCGCATCCGAAGGGACACGCACACACACCACACACATATACAGATACACATACACAGACAGCGACACAGACACAGAAACAGACACGGACACATATACAGACACATACACCGAAAGACATTCTTGCTCTCTCACACACACAAACACGCACACACATTCTCACGCACTCACACACAGACAGACAGACAGGCAGGCAGACAGACAGACAGGCATACATACATACACACATGCATACCGACAAACACACACACACATACACACACTCACACTCATACCCACACTTACACTCTCACTCTCACTTTAAAACTCCCACTCTCTCACAACCACACCTGCACCCACACACACAAATAAACAAACGACCACACAGACAAACAAACAAGCAAACAAACACACGCACACACTGAGGTTTTCAGGGACGTGAAGGGGAACGTCAGAGAGTTCCAGTCTACCTTGTCAGGCGACGCTTGTAGGAAAGGCGAGGGAGCACACTGCCGCAGTGTTGGACTTGGAAATGCTTGGCCAGGATGGGCAGAAAGTTCAGGCTGGCGTGTTTCGAGGCTGCAGCTGCCGAAGCCATTTATATTCTGCACGGAGGCAGGTGGCTGAGTTGATGCAAGTGGAACAAGTTGTCTGAAACGAACATCAGTAGGCCAACGGGCTGACAAACATGACATTGTTCTGAAAGGAATGTCGGGATCGCGCAGGGGAGCAAGGTGGAATGGATGCAGTGATAGCAAACGTCTACAGGGGGAGCAGAAGAGAAGTCGGATGAGTACGCGAGATCAGCCGCAACAGTATACGCATAAGCAGCAGCACAACTAGCGGCCGCAGAAGTGGCGGCGGCCTTGGCGGCGAGCATAAGTGGTGGCAGCATGATGGCGGCTGTCTCTCTCTCTCTCTCTCTCTCTCTCTCCCTACTCCAGGCTCCTCGCGGACACCTGGCTGAGTCCTTCGCTGGTGATCCTGGTCTCACCCATCGACGTCCTGGGAGGTCAGCGCAGAGTGTGACAGAGGAAGACCAGGGAGCACACACAACTTGTTCAGTTGTGCCAGATGTCGGGGGGCAGAAGAGTTGGCCCAGAAAAAGGGCGACCGCTTCCTGTCGCAGGGAACGGGGTGTTGGGGCTGTGCAGTTCAGTAGGGAGAAGTATGCGGGGGTGTGGCTCAATGATGTTGTCGACGCGGGTGAAGGACAGCTGGGGTGAGGGATAGGTGGAGGCGGGAACGAGCGAAGAGGTGACGGGTGAAAGGGCTGGTGACGGGGTACAGGCGGACGAAGACGAGCAGGATAGGAGGAGGGAGGGAGGAGGGAGGAGGATGAGGGGAGGACGGTGGGGACGGTGGGTAAGGGTTCGAGGAAGGCGGGGAGAGGAGGAGGACCAGTGGGAACCCACGACGTATCAATGATGCTGCAATGCGCACTCTCGTCCCAAGTTCCCTCATCATGGGCCTGACGGATTCACCTGTTCTCATTGCTGGAGGCGTCACATTGGAAGACAGTCGTCTGAGAATCCGCAATCGCTCCCGAACGCCACTCCAGAGACACCATTCCCGCTCCTCTCCCCGCTCCTCCTCCACATGCGAGCGGCTCCTCTTGAGAGTTGCAGTCCGACAAACCGTTCTAAGAAACATCAGCTTCCCATCAGTGTGCAAGCAACAAGTACAAACCTCAGATTCCATACTTGTTTTCCCGTTTAATGCTCGCACTGAGCGGGTCCTCGCGGATGTTAAAGATGAGGTGAAGGTGCCGGGCCGATGTCGTAGCCATTTTCCCAGGTTCCCGGTTCCGGGTTCCACGCCGATTTCGGTGGGCGGCCAGGTTCGTGAGTTCTAAGTTCTGGGTTTGGAGTTCCCGGCGCTGGATTCCTGGGTCCTCGAGTTCTTGGTTGCGGTAAAATCCCAAGGCCTTTGCGACCGCAGTCAGAATTATATAGTAGAGCATCGAGACTGACAGGCAATCTTATATGGTAGAGGACTTATTTGGGCAGAGAGAGAGAGAGAGAGAGAAAGAGAGTAAACAAACACAGAGAAAGAGAGAGAGAGAGAGAGAGTTGTACATATGTACAATATAGGTGTTTGTGTATATTTATACATATATATACACCTATCAATACCGCCCCCCCCTGGCCCCGGGTCCCACGCCTCCCCGGAGCATCTCGGGAACGCTCCCGGTACCGCTTCCCCGGCCTTTCCAGGGAGCCTCCACAGCGCTCCAGGAGGGCCCAAGACGCCGCCCAGGAGCCCCCATAAGGCGAAAGGATGGCCCAAGGCGCTCCCAAGCAGCCCAAGTCAGCCTTCCGACGGCTCTCGAGGCTCCCAGGTGGCCTCCAAGAGACCCCAAGAGAGGTCCGAGAGGCGTCCCGGGACGGCCCGAAGAGCCCCAAATCGTAGATTTACATTGTTTTTGTTACATGTTTTTGGCTTCTCGCGTTGTCGAGCGTCCAACGCTCCAAGAACGCCGAAGAGCCGCCCAAGACCGCCCCAAGACCACCCAAGAGACCCTCAGGACGGCCCCAAGACGGGCCAAGAAGGCTCCAAGACTGCCGAAGAGGTGCCCAGGACAGCCCCAGACCACCCCAGAACAGGCCCAAGATGGGCCCAAGAGCGGGAGCAGGAGGCTTCCAGAGACCTCCGAGAGGCCTCCAGGACCTCCGCAGAGGCCCCAACACACCCCCGATCCTTGAGAGGCCCCAAAAAGACCCCGACGAGGCTCCAAGAACAGCCCAAGAGAGCTACGAGAGCCGTCACGAGAGAGCCCAAAGAGGGTACAATCGTTAATTACCAACGGTTTTTCCAATGTTTTTCGCCTTCTCACGTTTTCCCGCTTCCAACCCTCGAAGATCGAGGATTCTGGAAAATTATCCTGGCGAGAGACCCAACCATGTGTACCGCAATTGTGAATCTATTCTTCGGTGAAGCTCCCTATGGGGCCGCGAAGCGCTACACTGGGTGGGGGGGAATGCATGCGGGCGGTAGCACTGGGGCAGTCGGTGGAGCTTCCTATGGTGCCACAAAGCGCTGTACTGGGTGGGTGAAAATGCCAAATAGGGTGTATGGGACGCATGCGGACGGTTCGGTGGAGCTCCCTATCGGGCCACGAAGCGTTGTACCGGGTGGGTGAAAATGCCAACGTGGGCTTCCGGGGCGCATGCGGACGGTCCCACTGGGGGCTTCGGTAGAGCTCCCTATGGGGCCACGACGCGCTGTACTGGGGGGGGGAAACGCAAGGAGCAATGGCTGTGCTGGGTGGTGGCGGGCGCATGCGGGCGGTGCCACTGGGACCTTCTGTGGAGCTCCCTATGGGGCCACGAAGCGTTGTACTGGGTGGGTGAAACGCAGGGAGCAAGGGCTGTGCTGGGTGGTGGCGGACGCATGCGGGCGGTGCCACTGGGACTTTCGGTGGAGCCCCCTATGGGGCCACGAAGCGTTGTACTGGTGAAACGCAGGGGGCAAAGGCTGTGCTGGGTGGTGGCGGACGCATGCGGGTGGTGCACTGGGACCTTCGGTGGAGCCCCCAACGGGGCCACGAAACGTTGTACTGGGTGGGTGAAACGCAGGGGGCAAGGGCTGTGCTGGGTGGTGGCGGACGCATGCGGGCGGTGCCACTGGGACCTTCGGTGGAGCTCCCTATGGGGCCACGAAACGCTGTACTGGGGGGATGAAACGCAGGGAGCAAGGGCTGTGCTGGGTGGTGGCGGACGCATGCGGGCGGTGCCACTGGGACTTTCGGTGGAGCCCCTTTATGGGGCCACGAAGCGCTGTACTGGGTGGGTGAAACGCAGGGAGCAAGGGCTGTGCTGGGTGGTGGCGGACGCATGCGGGCGGTGCCGCTGGGACCGTCGGTGGAGCCCCCAATGGGGCCACGACGCGCTGTACTGGGGTGGTGAAACGCAGGAGGGAGGGAGGAGGAGGAGGGAGGGGGAGGAGGAGGAGAGGAAGAGGAGGGACGCGGGGACCGTCTCTTCAAAGCGAGGACCAAACACCACAGGATGGTTGGGAACAAGGGACTTCCAAGAATCCCTTTTTTTTCAAGGTGGTTTCCTACTCGGAGATCCCACACATCCCCTGACATCTGGCCTGTACCGCGCCTCCCGGCTTCCGGGGGGGGGGCCCAAGACGCCCAAGGAGCGCCCAAGACGACCCCAAGGAGCCCCCAGAACGTAAAGAACGGCCCAACACGCTCCCGCGCAGCCCGAGACACCCTTCCGACGGCTCTCCAGGCCTCCAGGAGGCCTCCAGAACCCCAGCGGGTCCAGAAGATCCCACACCCCTGAAGGGCCCGGCTAACAAAACCCGCGAGGCACAAACAAAAAACAGCCCCGAACATCGCCGAGGAATTGGAAAAAAAATGGAATCCCACAATTCCGTATTTCCCCCCCCAAGTTTGGCCCCCGGTCTATTCTTGCACGACAGACCACAATTCAGATCCCCCGCACCTCCCCCAAAACAACCCTGGAAGCCTTTGAGGTCCCCAAGCCCCCCAAACCGTTGAATACCGAAAGGGAATTAATGATTTCTGTGTTTCCGCACTTCTCCTTCTATGCGATTCCGTGGCTTGCGCAGGACCTCCAAGGGAGTCCTTCGACGCAAGAAGCGACCAAACGAAGATTACATGAGTTAGCTTATCAAGCCTAGCTAAAACTTGAGCGCACGCGAAGCGCGCGATGGTTCTAGCGTGTATTATATATATATATATATAGATGTATGTATGTATATGTATGTATGTGTATATGTGTATATATATATATATATATATATATATATATATACAGACCCAGGTTTAGGGGGCCAGGCCGCCAGGAGTGTGCCTCCGCCCTCCATGGGGGGTCCGGGGCCCACTTTCCCTTTGTTTTTACAGGGTTTCGGCGTTCCAGGGCCTCCGAGCCCGCCAGGAGTGTGCCTGCGCCCTCCATGGGGGCTCCGGGGCTCACTTCCCCTGTGTTTTTACGGGGGTTCCGCGTCCTGGGCCTCGGAGGCCGCCGCCTCCGACCCCCCATGGGAGGACGGGGCGGCCGGGGAGGTCCAAAATAGTCCAGGAGGGCCTCCAGAGGCTCCCAAGACGGCACAAGCGGGCCCCGAGTCGCCGAAAGACCGCTCCAGGACGCCCAAGATAGGCCCAAGACGGCCCGAGAGGCCCCCCAAGGCACTCCACGACGCTTCAAGACGCCTCTCCAGAGCGCTTCAAGAGGCCGAAATCGTCAATTTTACGAAGGTTTTCGAACGATTTTGGCCTTCCAGCCTTTTCGGCTGTCCGACGTTCCAAGACGGCTCAATAGGCCCCCAAGAGCGCCCCAAGACGGCCCAAGAGGGCCCCAAGACGGCCCCAGAGTCGCCCAAGACAGCCCAACAGAGCCCCAAGACGGCCCCAAGATGCGCCCAAGAGGGGGACCACGACTCCAAAATTCAACCCTCCCGCTTGAAGAGTGCCCCAGGAGGCCCCAAGGAGCCCCCCAGAGGCCCCAGGAGGCCCCCAAGAGGCACCCAGGAGGCCCAAACGAGGCCTAAAGAGGCCACAAAACAGCCCCGAGGAGGCCCCACAACGGTCCCAAAACGGCTACCGAGAAGCTGCGAAACTGCCTTCACGACGTCCCCGACAGGCCAACCACGAGATCCAAACCAACACCCATGAGGCCTCTGACCCACCACCCAGGGCACGGTGGCGGGAGCAGTGACAGCACTTGTGCACAGCATGTTCCGGCGGGAGCCTTCCGGAACACGCTGCAGGAGGAGGAGGAGGAAGATCAGGAGGAGAGAAAGGTGGAGTGGGAGGAGGAGGGGGGGGACGAGGAGGAGGAAGAGGCCTCCCAGACAGCTCCAAGATAGCCGAAGAGGCTTCCAAGAGGGCCCTGGGCGGCCCACGAGGGCCCCAAGGCGGTGCCTGAGGCGCCCTAGACGGCCCGAGAGGGCCCCAAGACGGCCCCAAGGGAGGCCCAAGAAGGGAACGAC